TCAAACTTCACACATACATCATACATGATATTATACATATGCATGTCAATTCATGTATAACATGGCTGGGACAATAATCACATCATTCTGTGAAATTCTTATTGTTTTGTTTTTTTGCAGTCTGCGAGATATGGGCATACAATGGTAGCTTACACACAAAATACTTTGCTAATGTTTGGTGGAACCCTGGCAGATGGAACTATATCCAATGAACTGTGGAGTTTCATTGTGACAGTCAACACAGGTACATGGCAAAGACAAGCTACTACAGGTAATCTACAGATGCCTGGTTTGACTGATCATACAGCATGTATCGTGGATGACAGATATCTTTATATCTACGGAGGTAAGACGAATTCCCTTAAAATATCAAATCCAGACAATTATCGGATTCTGTCGTAAATTCGCCCTGGGCCATTAAACGGCAGTTCGGGTTTTTAGCTCCGCTGTCGACAAAGACATATTACTGATTGTCCGTCGTCGTCAACTTTACAATTTCAACTTCATTCTGCGAAACCGCAAGTCAGAATCTTTTCAATTTTGATATTTGTTCATTTCATGATGATATCTTCAATTATCTAAATTTAATGAATGTTTTTGTCATTTTTGGTAAAAAGTGATATTTTATTTAAGTCTGATTGTTTTGATACTATAAATATTGTTCATTTTCTAATGATATCTTCAGTTCTTAATTAAAATGTGCATTGCTAACAGCTGAGCTATCTCAGCCGACAGGCTGCTTGTTAAAAAAATAAAATGGGTGAATTTACGACAGAATCCGGTAATAGCAGCAAAAATTAAATGATTTACGGAAGTGTTTTTTACAAAATCAACAAAAACTTTGGAGATTAAAAAAAAAATGTTAAAGCTTGAAAAAGTTTGTTACCATGGACATAACTATTGTATATTGGTTTTGTTTCTTTTTTAGGTCGTTCTGAATCCGTCAATTTCATGTCTAAAATGTACCGATATGACTTTACAAATTATCACTGGGAAGAAGTTAATTATCGTGGAGGAACAATATCAGATCTACGGGTGTCTGGGCATTCTATGGTTTATCATCCTGAATCTAGATCGCTCATAGTATTCGGTGGATTCAAGCCTCGCTATTCAAGGCGAGTTTGTTACCATCCTTAAAGCGAGAGGGTTGTCACCTGCGCACATGCGGGAATTGAGTCTCAAGCGATGATAACAACACACGCTAAAATCGCAAAGGCTCATGGGTAGACGCTTGTTTGTAAAGAATAACAAGCTATGGCCATCTGACGCATGCGCATGTGATGACTCCCCTGCTTTAATGTAAACAAACCAACATTTATGAAAATTAGATTAACACATGTTCCAGGGCTACAGATGCTTCTTTCAGGTATTGCATGTAAACAAATTATAATTTATGAACATTAGATTAACACATGTTCCAGGGCTACAGATGCTTCTTTCAGATATGGCATGTAAACAAATCATAATTATAAACATTAGATTAACACATGTTCCAGGGCTACATATGCTTCTTTCAGGTATGGCATGTAAACAATTCATAATTTTATGAACATTAGATTAACACATGTTCCAGGGCCATTAACGCTTCTTTCAGGTATGGCATGTAAACAAATCATAATTATAAACATTAGATTAACACATGTTCCAGGGCCACTAATGCTTCTTTCAGATATTGCATGTAAACAAATCATAGTTATAAACATTAGATTAAGGTA